AGGACATGAGCATTCCACGGACATGAGCTTATCTTGCTGAACTGCTCCGTGCAAGATTTCAAATCTCCAAGTCACCAACCCCCTTGAGTTCCTGGTGAGTGTTCTTTGACTGTACAGAAATTAATAGGCCTTGGCCCAACTTTTCAAAGGTGCCCCCACCCACCTTCACTGCCCCGACCCCTCATTGGAGAGCTGACTCCCCATCCTGCAGGGTGGTGCACTCCCTTAAGCTTCAGATACCTAAATGACTATTTATCTTTTCTCTATTGTAGTATTGCTTTATTCCTTGTTTTCCTGTTTGCCATTATACGTCTTTTTCTTTTTTTACTGTTATTACAATATCTGCTACTAATAAGCTTCATGGCCACTCTGCCTTCTGTACCTGCCACCCCGATTCATATACACACTTGCATTTTTCTGCTGTGTCTTCTCCCTCCTCCCCTGCTGCTTCTCTCAGGCCCCCTGGCTCTGGGCTGAGCAGAGCATCCACTCACGCAGTGGCTCTCAATGTGGCCCTGTAGAGTGGCTCCCATTCCACCCCCACTTGGGAGAGAAACCCCCTGAAATGACCTGGCAAAGCTGTGTATGGGTGCACACACCTGCCCACGTGCATCCATTTTTCTGAGGAGAGAACCGTGGCAGACCCTATGGATCGCCTACCTCCAAACAATCCCCAATATCCTATGTCCTTGACTCCCTTTGCCACAGAGGCTGAAGAGCTAAAATTTTCAATTTCCCAACTTCCCTTCTTTTGACCAATGAGGAGGAAAAACACCCTTCCTTTCATAAAAAGCAAAGCCTCACTAGGAGAAAATCCTTTGCCCTTCTCCCTTCTTCCCATTAGTCCTGCCTGGAATGTAGATATAAAGCACAGATATACAGCAGCCATCTTGCAAACATGAGGCTGCAGGCCTGAGAATGAAGGCCTGTGTTTATGGTGGAAAGGAAAGAGGTTGGAAAGAGATCCAGTCTCTGAGGGTGTCCTTGAACCACCTGCCCCACCTTCCAAATTTTACTTTTTCCTTCCAGGTGCCTTTGTTGTGGTGCTGAGTGTCTCCCTTCCCTGCACAAACATGTGATGACAGCCAGGCAGGTGTGGTGGGGAGGACTTGAGAGGATGGCTCTTTTCAGGTGGCCTCCAGCCTGCTCTGGGGTACAAGGGAGGTTGAAGTGGGAGAAATAACTCCCTGTGGGACATCATACTTGGTGACCAGACCACCCTCATACCTATCAGTGCGCTTTTCCCATGTCTCATCCCACTTATCTCAAAATTGCCTTAATTCCCAACCCTGTCAAGAATGATGGGCATTTAGCCCTGTAACTCCATCTAGTCCACTCCTGCCTTTTCAGAGATGGAGAAGAACAAGCGCTGAAAGGCTAAGGGTATGTCCAAGGTCAAAGAGGACACACCAGCAGCGAAGGGATAAATGGGACCAGAACCCTTTTATCATTAACAGCCACCATTACTACCACCGACTGCCACATAGTATCCTTCCTGCTCAGTGGGCACTGCTCTGGGTGCCATCTATGTGGCCTTTTATCCTGACAAAATCCCCAGAAGGTAGGCGCTGTTACCTCTACTTAAATGCTGAAGACCCTAGGCTCAGACAGGTTATGTAATTTTCCAAGTCTAGAAAGAAACAGAACCAAGACTTGAACCCAGCTTGGTCTGGCTTCCAACGCTAGACTATTTTCACACCTCCAGGTAACTCAAGACAGTGTTTGTCTGATCTGCTATGGACATGCCTCAAAAGCAGTTTTCCACAATTCCTCTATAGACGGCCTTAGCCATTGGAGCCTCAGGAAATCTGTTTCAGTGTTAACTGCATTTCCCCTTTAGTGCAGGGAATGCTTCCTGAAAGAGCCTGTTCTCTCAGCAGCTGGTGATATTTGATTTGATTAACACCCCGGGACCTATCACCAGACTTAATGATGATGCTTAATTAATCGCTTACGTTAAAAGAGCTGGCACTTTCTGCATTTGGTTCACACTTCTAGCCTCAGTCATGTTTTCTCTTCAGCAATAATATTTACGCAATTAGAAAATAGTGAATTTATACTCTGACGTGGACCTGAGCTGTGTGTGGGACCTCCCTCCCAAAGCAGATGTCCTTGACAGGTGTAGAGAAATAGACCTTTTTTCACAGCAAGAGCCATGAGTGAGATCTTCCACTTACATTTCAATGAAAAATCATGCCTGTATCAACAAATATTCACTGAGCACTGACCCATATTCTGTGTGACAGTCTACATTTCCAAGGCCCCGTGGGGGCTAAAAAGAAGTCTCATTATACATAACTCTTTTTTTCTTTCCTGTTTTTGGTCTAGAATCTAGATAGATCAGAAAAAGGCATTTTACATTAGACATCTTAAGTTTCAATAAGCATTTGCTAAGGTATCCCAAGATATTATCATGCAAAAGGCAGGAATATATGGCCTGGGTGATACGACAATGAAGTGAGTTTGTGATGTTAAATGACTCCAGGGTGCAAACGGAGATCAAACTAAAAAGAGGTGATGTGCCACAAGACAACCCCTGCAATATTTTAAATCAAGAACTTGGGCAATGATACAGAAAAGCAAGATTATATCTTCTGATAGCAGGAAGCTGGAAGGAATAAGGCAGCATCTTGGATGACAAAGTTCTTGACAAATTGAACAATGGGTTGAATTCTAACATCATGAAATTCAGTAGGAACAAATGCCAGAGAGCCGCCAGAACCAGCACTGCACAGGGAACGACTTGAGGATCAGCCACCAGCCACCAGCTTAACATGAAGCAATGGTGTGATGTATGACCCAGGTCACTAATGCATCTGTTTAACTGTACTTATTGGGATGACACTGATACAGGTTCCAAGTATACAATTCTATAATACATCATCTGCATATAGCATTATGTAGTCATCATCCAAAGTCAAATTTCCTCTGTCACAATATATATGACCCCATTTACTCTTTACCATCTCCCTGCAACCCCCCTGTCCCTCTGGTAACCACCATACTGTTGTGTGTGTCTGTGAGTTTCTGTTTGTCCTATTTGTTCATTTGCTGCTTTCAGGTTTATATCCCTCATATGACCTTTAAAAACTATACATGCTTTTTTCAGGGGACCATTTAGAGTTGAGTTTTCTTTAATATTTTCCTTTGTAAAGACCGACACAAATACCATATCACACTAAATCTAAGACACCATTGGTTGTAAGATGCATCTCTCTTATCTACCATTGAGAGAGAGAGCAAAGTGCTGCCAATTAGACAATACCCCAAACTTCTTCCCATTTACATTCCAGCTCTCCTGGAGCACTTTTCAACTCAGCATTGGCATGTTGTTCCCATTTTTTCACACAATATCAGTGTCTATGTCATGAAGAGCGTTGAGAATGTAGTATGTCTTCTATAAAGCATTCCACTGTTAGCTCCAGAATTTCTTCCACGCAGTAACATTTGATCTGAAGGCTTCTACGTTGTTACTTTTTTGTTCTAACCAGCAAAGGACAACGGTAAGTTTTCAGACAACAACTAGGATTTTTATTCTTCCTTCAAATGGCCCTTAAATTGTTTGCTGACTGAAACTTTGATTGACGTTGCCTACTTATGCCACCATGAAGAATAACAAAATTTGTTCTGCATGGACAGTGACAAACACATCCCACTTGGCTCCAATCTACAGACCCCTGGGATGTTAAAATGTGAAATATGGATGTTTTAGAATTTATAAAATACAGTTGCTCAATTTTCCTGCTTGTCTTTCTGTCTTAGGTTATGCCCTTTGCTTGACTTTCCCCAGCCGGCATCCCTAGCTGGCTATGATAACCTCTAGTAAATCTCCTCGACTTTCACTGAGAGTTTCCGCAAGTGTTTTCCTGACTGGCCCTTATTTCTATTTTATACTCAATCTTGTCTGCTTTAGAAGTATTCCTAATCTTCTCATTTCAGCTCATTTCCTCTTTTATGCCCTGCAACTGGTAGAAAACAAAGCAAAAATGAAAAGGTCAACCAAGACTTTGCATCTCAAAAGAAGCCATGCTTCATCTCTCGCTGTTCTTATTAAGAAGAGGTATAGAGCTTTACAGTGCAGAGTGGTTCTGAGCTCTGGCTGTGAAGTAAAATAATTTGTAGAGACTTTAAAGTCTAGTTTTCAGTGGGCTATCCCAAGACCCACTGACTCATATTCTCATTTGAGAGTAGAATTGGGGGGAAGCAGGCACTTGTATTTTTAAGAGAGATCCACGGATTAATGTGGTATGTCATCTAGGTTATAAACCATTAAGAGCAGAAAGACATTAGGCATTTTCCAGGTCATGCAGAGACAACTCTATTATATACACTAACACAAATTTGAAGTCAAGAAGCCTGAACTCTGGAAACAATTCATATGGACAGACTACAGTTTTATTCATTCAGACTATACTATTCACATCATCCTGTACTCAAGATGATTAAACTAAGGGTTATGAAGGACATTGTAATGATTGGGCATGGGGTTGAGCATGGCAAGAGCACAGGCAGGAAACAAAGGATGAGAATTTCTTTTTCCAACCTTCCAACAATCCCAAATGCTGCCTGGTCTGAGGCCATGGGGAAGGTGACTTCAGGTGACCTCACCCTCCTCCATTCTCTAGCCACCACTTTCCAGGCCCATTTCAGGGACAAGATGCTCTGGGCACAATTCTGGCCCTTTGATTTAGGAATATTTAGGGATAACCTTAAAGTGGAAGGTTGTATTAATGGGGCCCAAGCTCAAAAAATATGCAAATCCCTGCACCAAACGGCTCAGGGAATGGTTTTTATGGCTGTGAGAGAGCCCTGACACTGTGTCCTAATCACCTCCATTTTTAGCAAAGGTTCTTCTAAATTTTAGATAAGTATTAAGATCTCCCATCTTTTCTGGGTGCTAGTAGATAATTGATGATTCCACTGTTAGCTCTGGCCTTTTTGTTGTGCCAGGAATTCAGAATAAAGTTTTCACACCAAAGCCCAGGCCATCTTTTACTCACCTCTTAGATCCAGGGACCTCTTACTTATAATCAAGGGAGAGACTGAGATTCATCTCCTGTGAATTTCTTTTCCTTCAGGGAACTAAAGCAGAGGCTGAAAACAAGAATATCAAAAGCACAAATCATTGCAAATCAGTGCTGATGGTGCAATGAGTACTGATGCTTTACTTTTTTTCTTGCCACCCTTTACAGGCCCTGGCCCCTGTGGCTTGGTTGGTTGGAGTGTCGTTCCATGCACCGAACGGTTGCAGATTCAGTCCCTGGTCAGGGTGCTTACGGGAGGCAACCGATCCTCCCGATCAATGTTTCTCTCTCTCTCTTTCTCCCTCTCCCTCCCCCTTCCTCTCTCTTTAAAATCAATATAAACATATCCTCCAGTGAGGGTTAAAAATAAAAAAGAAATTCAGCAGACAGGACCCCAAGTGGTTAACCACCAAAGTGTGTAATAGTTTAGAAATATAAGTTATATTAGTTGTATGGCTGGTGTGCCTACTGTGCAGTCTTTGAAAATTTTTAATACAATGTCCTTAAGTTGGGCCGTTCCCTTCACAAACTTCACATGTCAGTAATCACCATCGGGAATCCAATCTCAGATGGCTACCTGTCCCTGCACGGCTTGTCCCTTACCTGCTCGTTCACTGGGACTTCTCCTCCCTGTGGCATGCCCTTGGTTAGACGCCGCAGTCCTTTCTTTAGTTTCAGTTACTCTCTCTGTTTCACAGGACAGTCTTCTGTATCAACCATGGGCCCTGAAACAGAAACAACTTGTCAGTTAAAAAAAAAAAAAAATCAGAGCCCAAAATGCGTATGTTTGAGAAAAAAACTTGCTTCTTTTCTTCACCATTGTCCACTCCAAATGAGGACCTCGGGAGTGTTGCTTCTAGAACACAGCTATATATTGGAAAGACTCCTTCGTGCAAGTCGATTCATACCCATAGGGCCTGCCTCCCACCGTCAACCCTCGCGGGTAAAGGGTCAGAGATGCCTGTCCTCATTAAGCAGAAGGAAAGTTTTCCTGTTACAAATTAAAATCCTCCCATGGCTGTGGATTTATCAGCAAACCTGCTCCCCATGGTCACCCTGTAAATGATGATTGGGAAAAATCAATCATTTCCTTCTGCTACCAAGGCTGCTCAAATTGGTTCAAAATGCTAGGCTTCCTGATGGAATGAAACTTCCCTGAGCCAATGATAGAATTCCTAGGGGGAAAGTGGAGGGGTAGTTGGATGGGCTGGACCCACATTTCCAGGGTCTGAAGGGAAATGTTCAGCAGCATGTGGCTTTACCACCTAATGTATTCTTAGACAGGCCCGGGAGAGAGGGTGACCGCGTACGTTCTTGTTCAAGATGGGTACTAGACTTATCGGGTGGGTCACTGCGTAAGGTATATGCATGTTTAATCGTTGTGTTGTATACCTGAAACTAATATAATACTACATGTCAACTATAATTGAAAACTAAATTTTAAAGAGTTTTTGTTCATTTTTACCCACCCAAAGAGTTGAAAATATTTAATAAGCTTTTATTATTTAGTGAAAAACAGTACAAGATCATTCAGAGAGTATGTGTGTCCCTGGCACCATACTCCCTCTGCTCCGCCTTCCCATCAGTGCTGGAGGAAGCTTCCTTTTATTTCAAGAATGCAAATTTAGGTCATATGGCAAGTAAATGCGAATATGATATAAATAATACATTGATTGGGCTTTGCAATTCTGAAAACAATAAATAAACTCTGAAAACAAAAATGACCACAGCTCAAGCAGTGGCCATTTTAAATAAGATCCAGGAATATATTTATTTAATTTGGTGTTTTATCAATCACCTCTATTGTCTTCTTTGTACAGGTCAAAATGCACAGGCGATTTCTCTTCAGACATCCTCCCCCAAAATAAAGCACATGCTTACAAAACATATCCCTCACCTAACCAGGCATCTTCTGAAAAGCACATACGGTATTTTAAATTCATGTTAAACATTTTTCAACTCCTCTGAAGGCTTCAATAAAACAAGAATTCATACACCTCACCCAGGCTGCCTGACTTAAAATAGTGTGAGGCTTGGAGAGTTAAACAATAAAATTTTCCAAGTATACACATGCTGTGAGAATCAATAACCTCTTCTCAAACCAGCAAATTGGTTTCAAGTATTCGGTTCATTGGTTACATCCAACAGCCTGAACAAGAGGCCCCCTCCTGAGTGAAAGGGCCGGGAGTAATGAATTCTTGAAAAATGTGTTCTCATCACAATTCCTGTGCTTCTTACTGCATGGACGATGGCATGTGTAAAAACCCTATGGAAGGAACCCTGGGTTTAATTTCAGTCAGTCCTCTTTGTGGGAATTTTAACAAAAATGCCTCTGCAGAGCACTCTGTCCGCTCTCATTTCATGAGAACAATTCATGGCAATGCCATTGTTTACATAAAGTGATATTTTCTGGATTTCAAACTTTGACTTTGCAGCCAGATTATCCTTTCTAAAATAAAACTGATAGTCTCTTAGAAAGGTTTAGCCGAAGTCACCGGCCCTCCTGCTGACCCACGGGCTCTGGGAATATTTGTCTGAAAACCCAGCCGTTGTGCTAGCAGAATGTTCACGCCCCTCACTCTCAGGCAAGCAGCCTGTGTTTTCTTTTCCCTCCCTTCTTGCCGTCTCATTCCCGGGACGCCATCCTCCCTTCTCTCCAGCAATCAATGCCTGTCGCCACCTCCCCAAGCTGAGGTCACTCCCCTGCTCTCAAAGGCTTCTGTACCAGTCCTTCCACTTTTGCAACCTCCTTTCCTTTCTTCTTGGGATGGAATGTTCATGCAGAAACTCTAGCCCAGAGTACAGTCTAGCTGAGAGAGAAGTCTTCCTCCAGCAGGGTAACTTGTGTCTTCTGCTTAAATGTACACACAGTCAAAAGGGACATATGCCATGGGAAAGCAAAAGGAACTGGCTTAGGAGCAACTTGATCCTCAAATGGTCCCCAAGGCTCCCTTCCATTCCCATCTGCCCAGTGCCACGCTCACCAGCAGAGTGGCAGAACTGAGGCCTCGCCTCTCAGGGCACCTTTTCTTCACAGAGCTCTGCAGCTGCTAGTTATTGGGATCTTCTTTCCCTCCATATCCTCAGAGGCCCTCTCAAGGCTCCCAGGGGGTTTTTAGTCGATTCCAGGGCTTAAAACTACTGTTTCAGAGACACTGTAAATTAAACAGGCCTTTGTGAGCTGGCTTAGGAGGCCTATTAACATTAATTATATTTTATCTACTGATAACCTTATAGCCCTACTAGTAAAAAAGAATTTTAGCATTATTAATAATATTGTTCATAAATACCCTAGTATCCAAGAGAAACTGCAAGTTAAAAAACAACTGAATTTTATAAACCCAAACTTTGAGAAAGGATATGGAAGTTGGAGGCTGCTCTTTTTGGTTTGTTGGCTTTCTCTTTATTTCCTCTAACTTTCCACATATGTATTCACTCAACAAGTATTTCCTGAAAACTTACTGTTAGGTATCCTGTGAGGGGCTAGGACTAAATTTGAGACTCCCTGTTATTGTGGAGCTTGCAGTCCAGTAAAATAAACAGGTGACCAAGTAATGTAGAAAAAGATAAAAGCAAAACTGCTACTCTGACAAATGGTAGAAAAGATGGGTACAGGGTATGTCACTAGGAATATCGATCTAGTCAGAGAAGCTAAGGAAAATGACAGCTGGGTAAAGGTGGCAGAAAAGGTCCTTACAGGAGAGACAATGACATGGGCCAAAGCCCACAGTGGAGGGAGCCTGGCAAGGCAAGGAACTGAAAGGAGGCCCATGGCAGCGCCTGGGCACAGTGGGGTGGGGCACAGATGAGGCTGGGGGGGCGGACGGCGGCTTCCCGGGGAAGAGCAAAAGGGAGCCCTACGAGCCTGACCTGGAAGGGGTGACAGGACCAACTGGGCGTTTTCAGTGCTCTCGTCACAGGGCGGAGAAACACTGGTGGCAAGACTGGCTGCTGGTAGTCCACTTGCAGAGGCCACTGCGGGAGCCCACATGAGAAACACCTGCCGCTTAGAGTGGATGGAGGCCGACCCAAAGGTTGTCAGGTGGGAAAACAGGCAGGATTTAGCAATGGGTTGGACATAAGAGCTGAGGTCTAGGAAGCACGGAGGAATGACTCTTAGGTTTCTTGTGTATCCTGGTTTAACTATTTGGTCCTTTGCTTTATCACTGGCTATTGTCTGTGGTTTCTAGGCACTTACTTTTCTCTCTTCATGTTCCTACTTCATCCTGAAGGGAAGATTACCTATCACTTCATCACTTCAAAACTAACAACGCACAGAGCCCTTAGCATTATTTCACCAATCCCCACAATCTATTTTTAATATATAACATTCCCAAATGATTTCTGTTTATAATTTTTAATCACCAATCCCCACAATCTATTTTTAATATATAACATTCCCAAATGATTTCTGTTTATAATTTTTAA